CATAGAATTGACCCAAGAAGATCTTCCCCAATTCAACAAAACCACAGACAGAGACAAGATACTAAAATTGGCAAAAAAGAAACGTCAAGTTACTTTCAAAGGATATCCCATAAGGCTAATATCAGACCTCTCATCGGAAACAATGCAAGCAAAGAAAGAATGGGGAAATATATTCAGTTAAGTGAAAAACCATTTCAACCAACAATACTATAGCCAGTAAGATCTTTCATATGGAAAAAAAGACAAAAACCTTCTCAGATAAACAAAACTTGAAAGAATTTACCAACACCAGACCAGCTCTCCAAGAAATGCTGAAGAGAGTGCTATACCAGAATAACTAAAGTCAGATACACAGAAATAAGAATACAAGAAACAACCAAGAGAATGCCCAGCCTTATGATAGGGACAAGTCTAGAGTTGAATGTTAACTTTCAGAATTTAAATGGAAAGATCAGACCACAGTAACACTGCAAATTCAATAGAAATTAATTATGTGAGTTTAAACTAGTGAAATACAATTTTTTGACTTTAGACTAAAACATTACTGATTTTCTTTGATGCTTTGATTTCCATACTTAAGGAATTATGTCTTCTCTTGAACTCTTGATAGGTTCCTCTACCTACTATTTGAACTAAATCCTAATCTTTTTTCTGGCTTTAAGTTTTAAGCAAATTTCTCTTAACATTTTTTGATTTTGATCTATTAAAACTAAGACCTTTTTTTGAAATTTAAAAATGCATTAAAATTATCTGTTAATACCTATTTAATGACTGCAGTAAGCTATATAGCCCCAGTGAGGTACTACTGGGGCTATATAGTATGTTCACTTTACTCACTGAAGTTTATGCTTAAAGTCAGACATGCATTCATAAATTTGTATATATCAGGTGTGCTTGCTATTGAAAGTCTTTAATTAAGATATTTAGTGAATCAACAAAATGTGAAAACAAAAAGGTATGGAGAACAACTGTACATACCAGAGACAGTGTGAGAGAAGGGAGGAAGTTGGCAGAGGGTGAGAGGTAAGGAATCAAGGGGAGGGAGGAGAAAGTAAAATATGTAAGAATCAAGAAACAGAAAATTACTTGTCGATGATAACATGTATGGTAATATCCATGATTGAGCCAATAGACACTATACACTGGATGGAAAATCTCATTTGGTATACTGTATTGATGTACAGTGGATGGCCGTTAATTAATTAATTATTTATTTTAAAGTAGCAAACAAAAAAAGATGAAGAAGGAAAGAGATTTACAAAGAAATACAAAATGGAAAATAAATACATGAAAAAAATTGGAAGCTCATTTAATAATTAAAGAAAAACAAATGAAAATAAGATATAATGTTCATTTTTAAAAACAGCAAGAATTAAAAACACTGATGATGTCTGGTGGTGGGGAAAATACTGAGAATTAGGTATTCTTACAAAGTATTTGTGGCCAAATGCGTAAGCTGAGTACACAGTACCAAAATATATAATAATTTGGAAAAAAAATCCTTGTAAATTTATAAACATACATGTTTTTGACTCAGCACTTTTATGTCTAAGAATTTAGCCTATGCAAATATTTGACAACTATAAAAGATGAATTTATAAGGTTATTTCTTGTCTGTAAATTCACTGCTTTAGAGTTGTGTCTAGACTATATAATAGTGTGAACACTGCCTCAGTTTCTTTTTATTTTTTTTAAAGATTTCCAAGTATTTTATTTTTGAGAAAATCTGAGAAATAACCAAAGGAATTGGAACTAGTTTTAACAACCTCTGAAAATTTTAAACTCTAGATTTACTTATTTTGAAACTAACTTCCAAACAAGATAGAGTACAAACGATATACGTGTACACTGCACTGCTGAAGCGGCTCAAACTTGCCGAGACACCTTTATAAGCAAATTCCTTTGGACATGCTTCCTCCAAGAGACGCCAGGTCATTTTTTGCTTGTCACCAACAGCCTCGTTAAAAGAAATGATAAAGAACCTACTGTATAAATCACTCTCAGGTGTCCCCCTTGCCAGCTACACCACAGCCCAGCCGGCTGTGACCTGGCTGGCCCACCTGCTCCTGGACGCCCA